TCTCTGCCTTTTCTTTGTTTCATCATGGATCTTGATCAAAAGAATATTCTCATGGTGAACAAAGTAGATATTCTCTGAGCATGGTTTACTATCTCTTGAGACTGAGCACTGAGTTATCTTAAAGAGTAAAATCATTTGATGTTTTGCTCTTTGTGTTACAGAAGAATTTCCTTTGATTGCAAACCATATAGGAATGTAAACTTTCATTATATAATTTACAATGCATTTAAGGTTGACAATGGTTCTTCTGTAGAAATGTAAAGGCTCTCTTCATAGCTCATGCCACTTAGCTCAGGAACAAGCCTTGTTGCATACTTCTATACTTGATCCAGTTTCTTATTATTATTATAATCAATACTAAGAGCTAAACCCACCAAGGTCATACAGCACTGCAGTTTCTTAACATGCTTTTGTCAGGTGTGGGTTCCATACTGGTGCTGCACACTTCAAGATGGGCTTAACTTATGTTATATAAAGGGCCAGGAATGACTTTGTTGAGATTCTTGAAAGATAATCGTAGACTTGCCAGATGAACATTGGCTGCAGAGGTTATTTGGCTGATGTAAACCTTTGGTGTTATACTAGGCATTATGCCCACCCCTAGGTCTTTCTCTGTGAATGATGTCTGCAGCCTCTCTCCCCCTAGTCAATACCCCATTTCCAGTGATCTTGCTCCTCCAATCTACATGACCTTACATTTACTAGGGATGAATACAAGCAACCAATTATCTGACCACTCTTGTAATTTGTCCAGATTCCCTGAGATGTTCCTTGTTCTCATCTATTTTTATTCTCTTCATTAGTTTTACATCAGCAAGTAGGGATATGTTTGAATCAGTCCAACTGGATTATCATTCAAATAAACTAGAAACAGTACCTGTCTTAATACCAATCTTTGCAGAAGCCAACTAGTTACCCTTCTCCTTTCTGATGTCTCTTTCCTGACAGTCACTCTGCTTTCTCATCTTTGAATACTCTGGTCCACTGGAGAATGACATTCCCACCTGAATCTCAAGTTTTTGGCTTAGCCTCTTTTAGTGTACTCACCTATATGTGTGGTTGCAGGGGTCGATTCAGTGCTCTTGGTGAGAGCGCTTCCCCACTATATATCAAGATGCCTAATATGCTCACCTTAACAGTGAGGGAGTGCTGAGCATATGTGAAAAGTTTCGAGTTAGTTAGGTATGTTGTGAGAGGATGGGAGTGAAGAGGAGAGTAAGAATGAGGGGGAGGCAGTCCAGTTGCTGCATGTCTCTATACAGTGTATCTGTATTGCACTGTAAAGTAGGGTCCTGAAGTAAGTTTAACTTATGGTATGCTGCACTTAACACCTGTGACTTTGGAAGTTTGGAACCATTAATTATAGTAGACTTTCACATATTAAGTGGGTTACAGTCTTGAAATCAATGCTGTATATAAAATACACTGAAAGTACAGTGAACACATGGTAAAAATGCAGTTACTTTCTGGACACCTAAAAAAATTATTTAATTTTTTTTTTTTTCATATTTTTCAATTCATCAAAAATGATTAAATTTTTGATATTGTACATTGTAGTTGTCATTGTTCGTTGATCTAGGAATTTGTGGAGGGGGTTCATGTGTCCTCCTTACTAGGCCTAGTTGAATGTAGTGAGGTGCACATTAATAAATATACAGTACATGTATACAGAAAAGTTACATAAAACAATTTTTTCCTAACTTAAATTCTGGCATCTCTTGGATGTTGATCGTAACATCATTTCAGAGGATTGGCTGAGGTGGATAGCTGTTTTGTTGATGTTGATGATAGCTATGATTTCTTGCCCAACCAGGCAGGAACATTCCTGGCAGAGAATGGTCAGCAGTTTTCCCAGTGAATTTTTTTTTACATTATGCAGATGACTGTCCACTTTCAAACTTAACTCATCCAGAACTAAATGAACATTTGTGCAAGTTTACCATTCTTCTCATGCACTGTATTATAGTATGCTTAGGCACTTTCCTCTGATCATAAGGCCATTAAGTGGAGCACCTTTCTTTGTTTTCTGACAGTTCATACAGTCAGCAACTTTTATGTCTTATTTACATAAGACAGTAGTTCACATGCTGTCTAGATGACCCTATCACCACCTTTAACCCTTTCAGGGTTGGTGCCGTACTAGTATGGCTTGCACGCCAGGGTTGGTGCCGCACTAGCCCTTGTGGCTTAGCGCTTCTTTTTGATTATAATGATAATAATAATGGTGCCGAACTAGTACACATAAATTCTAGAGCCTTCAAATCTAGCGAGAGATAGCTGGTAGGCCTACATATGAAAGGATGGGTCTATGTGGTCAGTGTGCACAGTATAAGAAAAAATCCTGCAGCACACAGTGCATAATGAGAAAAAACTCCGTGTTTTTGGTTTAAAACAGCGATTTTGCAGTGTATTTTCCTATGCTATTTATGGTTGTATTCTAGTTTTCCTGGTCTCATTTTATAGAATGGAAGACATATTACAGAAATTGAGATGATTTTGATTGGTTTCACAATGAAAAGTACTTTGAAATTGAGCTCAAAGTAGCAGAAATGTTTGATTTTTGACAAAGTTCAAAAGTAAACAAATCATGCCACGTATCCACGTACACATCAACTGGCAAGTCTAATATTCTTTCACAAGTACGCTGTTATTATTTATACCATTTCTACACTAATGCAGTAGTCTGCATAACAGTAAATCATCTATTTTTTTGTGAGAATAAAAATTCAAAGTGGAAACCAAAAGAAATGTAAGAGAGGCCTGGGGACATGACTAATGAACACAAAAAATGTTATTTTAGTGCCAGGAATGTCTGTCTTGTTTATTCTGGACCCTATTTAGAAATTGGCATCTTTTGAAATTTGTGTGAAATTTGCAAAATTGCTAATTTCTGATCTCTTTATTGGATAGTTGAAATTGGTAAGTGGGTGGTTTCTTGTACGCAATCGATAGAAAAAATGGAGTTCTAGCGAAATAGTTATGATTTTTGTTGACTGGTACATTGGAATTGGCCAAAAATAGGGCTCAAAGTGGGCGAAATCGCCAATGCGTAAACATCGTCAAGACCGCTAACTTCGTGAAAGCATAATTCCATAAGTTTTCCATCAAATTTCATACTCTTGGTGCCATTATGATCGGGAAAAGAATCTCTGTCATTCAAAAGAATTTTTTTTTTTTCGAAAAATTTCCGACCCTGAGAACAAGTTTAGGAGAGGGCCTGCTGACCCTGAAAGGGTTAAATATATCCATCACCCTGAGTTTAAAAAAAAAAAAAAAGGCACAGTTTCACCCTTAAGTTTCTTGGCACTTTCACCATCACTAGGATTCCTTCTTGGTGTCATGGTTAATATCCAGATATGAGACAAGGTGACGAAAAAATTGAGAATGACGTGGTGAAAAGGAGAGGGTATGGTATGGAATAGGTCCAAGAGGCAACTGACTGTGTAGGAGGCTGTATACAGAAGTATGCAACAAGACTAGTTCCAGAACTACAGAACTAAGGGGTATGAGCTATAAAGAGAGGCTAAAGGAATTGTATCACACAACACTAGAGGACACAAGGACCAGGGGAGACATGATCAACATACAAAATACTCTGGGGAAATGATAGAAGAGATAGGGATAAGCTGTTTGAGAGGTAGGAAACAGGTACTCAGAGGCACAGTTGGAAGAAGTTAAAGACACAGATGAGTCATGGGGATATTAGGAAGTATTTCTTCAGTCTCAGGGTGGTTAGGAACTGGAACAGCCTTGATCAAGAAGTGGCGGAGGCAGACTCCATACATAGTTTTAAGAATTGGTACGATAAGGTGAGGCTAGGAGTGAATCTGGCTAGTGGCAAGTTGAGAGGCAGGGCCAGGAGCTAAGACTCGACCCCTGTGACCACATATAGATTTTACAACACAAACAGAGGAAATTATGACTTGGGAATGCATCCCACACCATGCGTCCAATACTGGTGAGTCTAATATTCTTTCACAAGTGCACTAATATTATTTATACCATTTTTACAATACTGCAGTAGTCTGCATAACAGTAAATCTTCTGTTTTTGAATTTTTGGTTTTGGGCCTGAATTTTTAGGCCTGGAGATGTGACTAATGAACAGAGAAAATGTTATTTTAGCGCCAGAAATATCTGTCTTGTTTATTCTGGACCCTATTTTGAAATTGGCCAAATTGCCAGTTTCTGACCACTTTATTGGGTAGTTGAAATCGGTAAATGGGCGGTTTCTTGTACTCAGTCGATAGAACAAATGGAGTTCTAGCGAAATAACTATGGTTTTAGTCAACTGGAACAGTGGAATTGGCCGAAAATAGGGCTGAAAGTGGGCGAAATCACCAATGCATAAATATCGTTGAGCCTGCTAACTTCACAAGAGCATAATTCCGTAAGTTTTCTATCAAATTGTATACTTTTGGTGTCATTACCATTGGGGAAAAAATCTCTATCATTTCACGAGGAAAAATCATTTTTTTTTTTTTGAAAATTTTTTGACCGAGTGGGAGTTCAGGATCGAGGGTCTCGACCCTCAAAGGGTTAATGTAAGTTGGGATACTAATATATACTGTATTGTAGCCATGTTCTATGAAAGTAACATGTATACATTAATTAATGTTTAATAGTTTTTATAAAAATGTAAATTATTAGATAAATATTCTTAGAAAATGAAATTAGATGTGCAATACTATGGCTCAGGAGAGCATCTCCTGATTACAACATGGATGTCTATGGGAAAATCTATACAATTGTCTATTCTCAAGGAAGGTTCCTGGATGCTGGTGAGGGGCTTTTGATCCAAGGAACTGAACCTGGCATCTCTTTCCATAGATTGAACTCGAGTGTCTCCTGTTCCTCAGATGTTTTATGTTTCCCTATGGGTTTAGTGCTTCCCCATAAATATAATAATGTGATTTTTTTTCTTTTTCTATTTACTTTGTTTCCAGGAAGACTGGCCCAGGGTTGGCCTGTAGAGCCCTTAAAAAGTATATCAAAGGTTCATTGGAATTATTTTTATTTAATACATTTTTTGGCCCAAACGACTCCCTTAAACAGTCAAAATGTCTGGCTAAGATTCCTAAAGATGAACCTATAAAAGATGCAAACAAGTGAAGAAGTGGTGGAGAAGTAGTAACTAGTAACCAATATAATACACTACTTAAGATCTGATCAAAATGTGATTTAACTGTATTAAATTTCTCCTTGAAATTACAGATATTTAATTTAAATAAATATGGATAACACTAATGTATTCATTAACCCAAATAAGCTCTCAAATTATCACCAAGTATTCCTTCCATCTTTGTGAATATTTCTCTAGTGAAAGCCTCAATATCAGTATCTAGACTTTCAAGAACCTCTGTGATGTAAGGCATTGTGTCTGCTAGTACAGGCTGCAAGAAGTCTTCTCCCAGTGTCTCCATTAGTGCCTGGAAAGTTTGCAATGCTGCCAGAATCACCTGAAAGGAAAAATGTAAAAGCATTATGATTCCTGGTTATTACAGATTAAAACGGCAAGAAATTTATTATTTACCATTCCAGTACCAAAATAATACTACGAATATGGTAAACACCACAAGATATGTAGCAATATCTCTCCTACTCAAAGCATTTGCTATGTGACTCTCACATTGTCTTAAGAAAAAATTAATGTTAAATTTTTACAGGCCAGTCTACTGGAGAAAACTCACCCTAAACCTGCCATAGTGAATTCAATCTTAACAGGGGCCCATGATAAATTCTGAATGTAGGTGTAAAAAATTTGAATCACAATTTGGAAAATCTCTCCAATTCTTCTGGTTTGAACAGGAAAGAAGTGTTTGATTTCTATTACAGCAACTCATAAAATGGAAAGTATGAACCTATGGCAAACCAATCCTACAACTAGCAGGCCAGTGCACCTTCATTATGATTTAGCAAGCCATTCATAATGGCTTTGAAGGGACTCCAATCTAGGCCTTGCCACAGCCAGGATGGAGTGAGATTCATCTATTAAAATGTTCATTTGTAGACACCATGGGGCCCATGCTAACTTTCTTATGGTATACAGAAATATAACTAGTTGGCAAATCTTATCAGAGCAGAATGGTATAGTGGAAACTACACGGGCCTACTAGGACTGATTTGTTATGGGCTCCAATCCATCAGTTGGCTAGTTGCTTACAAAGTACCATGATTTCACAAGTCAATCTTTTACATTACAGATGCTCCTCGCTTTATGATATTTCGACTTTACAATGGTGCAACAGTGATGCACATTTAGTAACATACAGTACTGTACATAAAATGATATGATAAACTTGTATTCATTTATTTACTTTTCAATACCGGTATTTAGCTACAGTAATTATTTGTTCACCCTAGGTAGTAGGTTGGTAGACAGCAACCGCCCAGGGAGGTACTACCGTCCTGCCAAGTGAATGTAAAACTGAAGCCTGTAACTGTTTTACACGATGGTAGGATTGCTGGTGTCTTTTTTTTTTCTGTCTCATACACATGCAAGATTTCAGGTATGTCTTGCTACTTCTACTTATCTGGAGAGAGTTCCGGGGGTCAACGCCCCCGTGGCCCGGTCTGTGACCAGGCCTCCTTAGGTCAGTGTCCCAGGATGCGACCCACACCAGTCGACTAACACCCAGGTACCCATTTTACTGATGGGGAACATAGACAACAGGTGGAAAGAAACACGTCCAATGTTTCTACTCTGGCTGGGAATCGAACCCAGGCCCTCACCGTGTGAAGCGAGAGCGTTAACCACCAGGCCACCAGGTCACACTACACATACATGTACAAGCATATATATACACACCCCTTTGGGTTTTCTTCTATTTTCTTTCTAGTTCTTGTTCTTGTTTATTTCCTCTTACCTCCATGGGGAAGTGGAACAGAATTCTTCCTCCGTAAGCCATGCGTGTTGTAAGAGGCGACGAAAATGCCGGGAGCAAGGGGCTAGTAACCTCTTCTCCTGTATATATTACTATATGCAAAAGGAGAAACTTTCGTTTTTTCTTTTGGGCCACCCTGCCTCGGTGGGATACAGCCGGTGTGTTGAAAGAAGAAGAATTATTTGTTCATTTACTTATTCAGTGACAGTAGTTATTTATTTACTTATTTATCATATCATATGGAGATGAATGGTTTATGGGATTTGACGAGCTGTTGGAGTGTGAGCAGAGTGATATTTTGTGGAGGGATTCAGAGAAACTGAATAGCCAGACTTGAGTCCTAGAGGTGGGTTTAGGATATTGGCAGTTTGAAGTGACATCTAAACTGTTGTATCTGTATGCCTCTGCAAAGACAGTATAGTTTAAATGATGATGAAAGTGTTTTTTTTTTTTTTTTTTTTGGGGGGGGGGGGGTCACCTTGCCTCAGTGGGAGATGGCCAGCATATTAAAAAAAAAAAAACGTATTCGGCTTATATGTTCAACTTATGATGGGCTCATCGGAATGGAACCCCATAATAAGCAGGGGATCACTTATCTACAATTTCCCATGCAGTATTTTGAGCAAGAGATATTACAGTAGTTTTGATAAGTTCCATCTACATTGTGACTTTTAATTATCAAACTGCTCAATGGCTATGCTTAAGTACAGTACAGTGAACCCCTGGTTTACGATCAGCTCCCAATGCGACCAATTATGTAAGTGTATTTATGTAAGTGTGTTTGTATGTGTATGTTTGGGGGTCTGAAATGGACTAATCCAATTCACAATATTCCTTATGGGAACAAATTCGGTCAGTACTGGCACCTGAACATACTTCTGGAATGAAATAATATCGTAAACCGGGGGTCCACTGTATATATACAGCATTATACTTTCCCCAACTACATTGGATATTTAGAGCAAAAAAAGCACCTTGTAAGATGATAATGAAAGACTATCAAGGAAGCAGAAAAATTAAATAAATTGAAGGATTTAACTTCCATGACACAATATGAAGCATAAAGTTCTTGTATTAGTAAACACTAAGGATAGCTACATACCTTAGGCTGGTCATCATTTCTGACCCTAAGAAGAATCTGCCGGTTTAGCGTCTTCCAAAGAGAGTCATCTCCAACAGCAATGGTAAACTTAACGAGGCATGGAATTAAGTGATTCCTGATGCGACCTTCATAGGCTATCATACCACCAATGGTATTTTCCAACTGAAAAAAATGAGGTAAAATACTTGTTAAATCAAAAAGCTGGCAACAACTGATTCATAATGATTATTTACATTCACAATTATTTTCTTGAAACAGATACCAATAGGGTATTTGGAGACAAGTAATTACTCACAAATACTGATCTGCAGATAACATTACTGAAATATTAAAACAAATTATTTATAATTAAATTTTTTTCTAAGCTATTTTTTCTCCAAATGCATTCATATTTTGCTTATGTTCATTTTTTTGCATGTATGTAGGTTGTAGAAGGTTGGTAGACAGCAACCACCCAGGGAAGTACTACCGTCCTGCCAGATGACTGTGAAACAAAAACCTGTAACTGTTTTGCATGATGGTAGGATTGCTGGTTTCTTTTTTCTGTCTCATAAACACGCTAAGATAACAGGGATATCTTGCTACTCCTACTTACACTTTGGTCACACTTCACAGACACGCACATGCATATATATATATACATACATCTAGGTTTTTCTCCTTTTTCTAAATAGCTCTTGTTCTTTTTTATTTCTTCTATTGTCCATGGGGAAGTGGAAGAGAATCTTTCCTCCGTAAGCCATGCGTGTCGTATGAGGCGACTAAAATGCCGGGAGCAATGGGCTAGTAACCCCTTCTCCTGTATACAATTACTAAAAAAGAGAAGAAGAAAAACTTTATAAAACTGGGTTGCTTAAATGTGCGTGGATGTAGTGCGGATGACAAGAAACAGATGATTGCTGATGTTATGAATGAAAAGAAGTTGGATGTCCTGGCCCTAAGCGAAACAAAGCTGAAGGGGGTAGGAGAGTTTCAGTGGGGGGAAATAAATGGGATTAAATCTGGAGTATCTGAGAGAGTTAGAGCAAAGGAAGGGGTAGCAGTAATGTTAAATGATCAGTTATGGAAGGAGAAAAGAGAATATGAATGTGTAAATTCAAGAATTATGTGGATTAAAGTAAAGGTTGGATGCGAGAAGTGGGTCATAATAAGCGTGTATGCACCTGGAGAAGAGAGGAATGCAGAGGAGAGAGAGAGATTTTGGGAGATGTTAAGTGAATGTATAGGAGCCTTTGAACCAAGTGAGAGAGTAATTGTGGTAGGGGACTTGAATGCTAAAGTAGGAGAAACTTTTAGAGAGGGTGTGGTAGGTAAGTTTGGGGTGCCAGGTGTAAATGATAATGGGAGCCCTTTGATTGAACTTTGTATAGAAAGGGGTTTAGTTATAGGTAATACATATTTTAAGAAAAAGAGGATAAATAAGTATACACGATATGATGTAGGGCGAAATGACAGTAGTTTGTTGGATTATGTATTGGTAGATAAAAGACTGTTGAGTAGACTTCAGGATGTACATGTTTATAGAGGGGCCACAGATATATCAGATCACTTTCTAGTTGTAGCTACACTGAGAGTAAAAGGTAGATGGGATACAAGGAGAATAGAAGCATCAGGGAAGAGAGAGGTGAAGGTTTATAAACTAAAAGAGGAGGCAGTTAGGGTAAGATATAAACAGCTATTGGAGGATAGATGGGCTAATGAGAGCATAGGCAATGGGGTCGAAGAGGTATGGGGTAGGTTTAAAAATGTAGTGTTAGAGTGTTCAGCAGAAGTTTGTGGTTACAGGAAAGTGGGTGCAGGAGGGAAGAGGAGCGATTGGTGGAATGATGATGTAAAGAGAGTAGTAAGGGAGAAAAAGTTAGCATATGAGAAGTTTTTACAAAGTAGAAGTGATGCAAGGAGGGAAGAGTATATGGAGAAAAAGAGAGAAGTTAAGAGAGTGGTGAAGCAATGTAAAAAGAGAGCAAATGAGAGAGTGGGTGAGATGTTATCAACAAATTTTGTTGAAAATAAGAAAAAGTTTTGGAGTGAGATTAACAAGTTAAGAAAGCCTAGAGAACAAATGGATTTGTCAGTTAAAAATAGGAGAGGAGAGTTATTAAATGGAGAGTTAGAGGTATTGGGAAGATGGAAGGAATATTTTGAGGAATTGTTAAATGTTGATGAAGATAGGGAAGCTGTGATTTCGTGTATAGGGCAAGGAGGAATAACATCTTGTAGGAGTGAGGAAGAGCCAGTTGTGAGTGTGGGGGAAGTTCGTGAGGCAGTAGGTAAAATGAAAGGGGGTAAGGCAGCCGGGATTGATGGGATAAAGATAGAAATGTTAAAAGCAGGTGGGGATATAGTTTTGGAGTGGTTGGTGCAATTATTTAATAAATGTATGGAAGAGGGTAAGGTACCTAGGGATTGGCAGAGAGCATGCATAGTTCCTTTGTATAAAGGCAAAGGGGATAAAAGAGAGTGCAAAAATTATAGGGGGATAAGTCTGTTGAGTGTACCTGGTAAAGTGTATGGTAGAGTTATAATTGAAAGAATTAAGAGTAAGACGGAGAATAGGATAGCAGATGAACAAGGAGGCTTTAGGAAAGGTAGGGGGTGTGTGGACCAGGTGTTTACAGTGAAACATATAAGTGAACAGTATTTAGATAAGGCTAAAGAGGTCTTTGTGGCATTTATGGATTTGGAAAAGGCGTATGACAGGGTGGATAGGGGGGCAATGTGGCAGATGTTGCAAGTGTATGGTGTAGGAGGTAGGTTACTGAAAGCAGTGAAGAGTTTTTACGAGGATAGTGAGGCTCAAGTTAGAGTATGTAGGAAAGAGGGAAATTTTTTCCCAGTAAAAGTAGGCCTTAGACAAGGATGTGTGATGTCACCGTGGTTGTTTAATATATTTATAGATGGGGTTGTAAGAGAAGTAAATGCGAGGGTCTTGGCAAGAGGCGTGGAGTTAAAAGATAAAGAATCACACACAAAGTGGGAGTTGTCACAGCTGCTCTTTGCTGATGACACTGTGCTCTTGGGAGATTCTGAAGAGAAGTTGCAGAGATTGGTGGATGAATTTGGTAGGGTGTGCAAAAGAAGAAAATTAAAGGTGAATACAGGAAAGAGTAAGGTTATGAGGATAACAAAAAGATTAGGTGATGAAAGATTGAATATCAGATTGGAGGGAGAGAGTATGGAGGAGGTGAACGTATTCAGATATTTGGGAGTGGACGTGTCAGCGGATGGGTCTATGAAAGATGAGGTGAATCATAGAATTGATGAGGGAAAAAGAGTGAGTGGTGCACTTAGGAGTCTGTGGAGACAAAGAACTTTGTCCTTGGAGGCAAAGAGGGGAATGTATGAGAGTATAGTTTTACCAACGCTCTTATATGGGTGTGAAGCGTGGGTGATGAATGTTGCAGCGAGGAGAAGGCTGGAGGCAGTGGAGATGTCATGTCTGAGGGCAATGTGTGGTGTGAATATAATGCAGAGAATTCGTAGTTTGGAAGTTAGGAGGAGGTGCGGGATTACCAAAACTGTTGTCCAGAGGGCTGAGGAAGGGTTGTTGAGGTGGTTCGGACATGTAGAGAGAATGGAGCGAAATAGAATGACTTCAAGAGTGTATCAGTCTGTAGTGGAAGGAAGGCGGGGTAGGGGTCGGCCTAGGAAGGGTTGGAGGGAGGGGGTAAAGGAGGTTTTGTGTGCGAGGGGCTTGGACTTCCAGCAGGCATGCGTGAGCGTGTTTGATAGGAGTGAATGGAGACAAATGGTTTTTAATACTTGACGTGCTGTTGGAGTGTGAGCAAAGTAACATTTATGAAGGGATTCAGGGAAACCGGCAGGCCGGACTTGAGTCCTGGAGATGGGAAGTACAGTGCCTGCACTCTGAAGGAGGGGTGTTAATGTTGCAGTTTAAAAACTGTAGTGTAAAGCACCCTTCTGGCAAGACAGTGATGGAGTGAATGATGGTGAAAGTTTTTCTTTTTCGGGCCACCCTGCCTTGGTGGGAATCGGCCGGTGTGATAATAAAAAAAAAAATAAAAAAAAATGTTTGGTAGAGACTGATCAAGAACTAGATTGAAATCATTATGATGATTTTGTTAATGCTAAATTAAAAATATTATTCTGTGTATCCTAGTTTTATGCACATTTAGCATGTTCATATTTGTTTGGTAAAATTAGTCAAGAAATGTAGATTCAATATTTATGATAACTAGAGCAGTTGTATACTGGAGGGGCCGCAGGAGGGTGAGGAAGAGAGGCTACATGGAAATATGAAATGAGCTGGAGTACAAACCATCAAATAAGAAAATCTAACCTGATCAGTTAAAGGTTTGACCATCAGTTGAAATCTTTCTTGGTTGGTAAAATTAACAGAGTCATAAAGAAAGATCTTGGTAAGTGTGTCCAAAACAGCTTCAAGCAGACATGAAGTTTGCCTTTCTGCTTCAGCTCCAGAGCCAAATACCTGAAATACAATTTTAAGCTTTCAGTAAATGTTTTGACTACAGAACTTATAATGATAGCTCACAGAGCAATTTATAGTAGACAATAAGTTTTTCTGTATGCTTAAATATGCAAGTGGTTAAATGAGTTGTTGGCTTCAAGAAGGCTTGCAGCAATGCTAAACAAGCTATCTGGTAGCTTGGCTTTGATAACAGCATTTTGAATGTTCCAGCCAAGTAATCACTAAACCTGGAAATAGATGGGACAATATAAAAATCCATAAAAAAGTGTAATTATAATTTTATTTGTTCAATACCAAATTGTGTACTATTCTCTCACAAAAAATTTTTCACACTGAACATTTCAATAATATTAACCCTTAACCCTTTGAGGGTTTTCGTCGTACTAGTACGTCTTACGCGTAGGGGTTTTTGACGTACTAGTACTCATAAATTCTAGCGGCCTCAAATCTAGTGGGAGAAAGCTGGTAGGCCTTCATATGAAAGAATGGGTCTATGTGGTCAGTGTGCACAGTCTAAAAAAAATCCTGCAGCACACAGTGCATAATGAGAAAAAAAAAACTTTGACCATTTTTTTTAATAAATCAGCGACTTTGCAGTGTATTTTCGTATGGTATTTATTGTTGTATTCTAGTTTTCTTGGTCTCATTTTATATAATGGAAGACATATTACAGAAATTGAGATGATTTTGACTGGTTTTACAAAGAAAGGTGCCTTGAAATTGAGCTCAAAGTAGCAGAAATGTTCGATTTTTACCAAACTTCAAAAGTAAACAAATCGTGCCAAGCGTGCAATACACATCAACTGGTGAGTCTAATATTCTTTCACAAGTGCACCAATAATATTTATACCATTTTTGACACTAATGCAGTAGTCTGCATAACAGTAAATCTTATATTTTTTGTGAAAATAAAAATTCAAAGTGGAAAGCAAAAGAATATAAGAGGGGCCTTGAGACATGACTAATGACAAGAGGAAATGTCATTTTAGTGCCAGGAATGTCTTTCTTGTTTATTCTGGACCCTATTCGGAAATTGGCATCTTTTGAAATTTGTGTGAAATTGGCAAAATTGCTAAATTCTGACCACTCTACTGGATAGTTGTATTTCATAAATGAGTGGTTTCTTGCACCCATTCGATGGAAAAAATGGAGTTCTAGCGAAATATTCATGTTTTTTGTCGACTAGTACAGTGAAATTGGCCGAAAATGGGGCTCAAAGTGGGCAAAATCGCCGATGCGTAAACATCGCCAAGACCGCTAACTTTGCGAGAGCATAATTCCGTAAGTTTTCTATCAAATTTCAAACTTTTGGTGTCTTTATGATCTGGAAAAGATTCTCTATCTTTTCATAAGAGAAAATAATTTTTTTTTTTTTTAAATTTGGCCGACCCTGAGAACGAGTTTCGGAGAGGGCCTGTCGACCCTCAAAGGGTTAAATGGTCCAAACGTAAATATACGTTTTTTCAACATCTGAAAGTATTTAAAAAAAATGTAGATCTTCTTTTTTGTTTTACATTTGAAAACGTGTAAAAAAAACTTTTATCTACATTTTTTTGTTATATTTGAAAATATGTAAAAAAAAGTAGATCTACTTTTGTAGCACTACGAATTTGAACGTCAATCTCTTTGGACCGTTTAAGGGTCAAAGAAATAAAAAAGTAATAATTATTTCAAATAATAATAAGTGACAATTAAAAATGAAATATATGTGGTATTAGAAACTAATGTGTATTTTTTAGATGCCTAAGTTTAAATTTTTGATTGTATGAGCATCTATTTGATTAAACATTTCAAAAGATTTACCAAGATGAATAATAGTTTCCTTCAGACATTTACTATTAAGCATACACCACTGAAGGTCTGCTTTGTATGTAAAAATGATCAAAAAAATACAATTCATAGTCATTTTAGAAACAATTAAATTATTATTATTTTTATTATCACACTGGCCGATTCCCACCAAGGCAGGGTGGCCCGAAAAAAAAAAACTTTCACCATCATTCACTCCATCACTGTCTTGCCAGAAGGGTGCTTTACACTACAGTTTTTAAACTGCAACATTAACACCCCTCCTTCAGAGTGCAGGCACTGTACTTCCCATCTCCAGGACTCAAGTCCGGCCTGCCGGTTTCCCTGAACCCCTTCATAAATGTTACTTTGCTCACACTCCAACAGCACGTCAAGTATTAAAAACCATTTGTCCATTCACTCCTATCAAACACGCTCACGCATGCCTGCTGGAAGTCCAAGCCCCTCGCACACAAAACCTCCTTTACCCCCTCTCTCCAACCTTTCCTAGGCCGACCCCTACCCCGCCTTCCTTCCACTACAGACTGATACACTCTTGAAGTCATTCTGTTTCGCTCCATTCTCTCTACATGTCCGAACCACCTCAACAACCCTTCCTCAGCCCTCTGGACAACAGTTTTGGTAATCCCGCACCTCCTCCTAACTTCCAAACTACGAATTCTCTGCATTATATTCACACCACACATTGCCCTCAGACATGACATCTCCACTGCCTCCAGCCTTCTCCTCGCTGCAACATTCATCACCCATGCTTCACACCCATATAAGAGCGTTGGTAAAACTATACTCTCATACATTCCCCTCTTTGCCTCCAAGGACAAAGTTCTTTGTCTCCACAGACTCCTAAGTGCACCACTCACTCTTTTTCCCTCATCAATTCTATGATTCACCTCATCTTTCATAGACCCATCCGCTGACACGTCCACTCCCAAATATCTGAATACATTCACCTCCTCCATACTCTCTCCCTCCAATCTGATATTCAATCTTTCATCACCTAATCTTTTTGTTATCCTCATAACTTTACTCTTTCCTGTATTCACCTTTAATTTTCTTCTTTTTGCACACCCTACCAAATTCATCCACCAATCTCTGCAACTTCTCTTCAGAATCTCCCAAGAGCACAGTGTCATCAGCAAAGAGCAGCTGTGACAACTCCCACTTTGTGTGTGATTCTTTATCTTTTAACTCCACGCCTCTTGTCAAGACCCTCGCATTTACTTCTCTTACAACCCCATCTATAAATATATTAAACAACCACGGTGACATCACACATCCTTGTCTAAGGCCTACTTTTACTGGGAAATAATTTCCCTCTTTCCTACATACTCTAACTTGAGCCTCACTATCCTCGTAAAAACTCTTCACTGCTTTCAGTAACCTACCTCCTACACCATACACTTGCAACATCTGCCACATTGCCCCCCTATCCACCCTGTCATACGCCTTTTCCAAATCCATAAATGCCACAAAGACCTCTTTAGCCTTATCTAAATACTGTTCACTTATATGTTTCACTGTAAACACCTGGTCCACACACCCCCTACCTTTCCTAAAGCCTCCTTGTTCATCTGCTATCCTATTCTCCGTCTTACTCTTAATTCTTTCAATAATAACTCTACCATACACTTTACCAGGTATACTCAGCAGACTTATCCCCCTATAATTTTTGCACTCTCTTTTATCCCCTTTGCCTTTATACAAAGGAACTATGCATGCTCTCTGCCAATCCCTAGGTACCTTACCCTCTTCCATACATTTATTAAATAATTGCACCAACCACTCCAAAACTATATCCCCACCTGCTTTTAACATTTCTATCTTTATCCCATCAATCCCGGCTGCCTTACCCCCTTTCATTTTACCTACTGCCTCACGAACTTCCCCCACACTCACAACTGGCTCTTCCTCACTCCTATAAGATGTTATTCCTCCTTGTCCTATACACGAAATCACAGCTTCCCTATCTTCATCAACATTTAACAATTCCTCAAAATATTCCCTCCATCTTCCCAATACCTCTAACTCTCCATTTAATAACTCTCCTCTCCTATTTTTAACTGACAAATCCATTTGTTCTCTAGGCTTTCTTAACTTGTTAATCTCACTCCAAAACTTTTTCTTATTTTCAACAAAATTTGTTGATAACATCTCACCCACTCTCTCATTTGCTCTCTTTTTACATTGCTTCACCACTCTCTTAACCTCTCTCTTTTTCTCCATATACTCTTCCCTCCTTGCATCACTTCTACTTTGTAAAAACTTCTCATATGCTAACTTTTTCTCCCTTACTACTCTCTTTACATCATCATTCCACCAATCGCTCCTCTTCCCTCCCGCACCCACTTTCCTGTAACCACAAACTTCTCTGCTGAACACTCTAACACTACATTTTTAAACCTACCCCATACCTCTTCGACCCCATTGCCTATGCTCTCATTAGCCCATCTATCCTCCAATAGCTGTTTATATCTTACCCTAACTGCCTCCTCTTTTAGTTTATAAACCTTCACCTCTCTCTTCCCTGATGCTTCTATTCTCCTTGTATCCCATCTACCTTTTACTCTCAGTGTAGCTACAACTAGAAAGTGATCTGATATATCTGTGGCCCCTCTATAAACATGTACATCCTGAAGTCTACTCAACAGTCTTTTATCTACCAATACATAATCCAACAAACTACTGTCATTTCGCCCTACATCATATCTTGTATACTTATTTATCCTCTTTTTCTTAAAATATGTATTACCTATAACTAAACCCCTTTCTATACAAAGTTCAATCAAAGGGCTCCCATTATCATTTACACCTGGCACCCCAAACTTACCTACCACACCCTCTCTAAAAGTTTCTCCTACTTTAGCATTCAGGTCCCCTACCACAATTACTCTCTCACTTGGTTCAAAGGCTCCTATACATTCACTTAACATCTCCCAAAATCTCTCTCTCTCCTCTGCATTCCTCTCTTCTCCAGGTGCATACACGCTTATTATGACCCACTTCTCGCATCCAACCTTTACTTTAATCCACATAATTCTTGAATTTACACATTCATATTCTCTTTTCTCCTTCCATAACTGATCATTTAACATTACTGCTACCCCTTCCTTTGCTCTAACTCTCTCAGATACCCCAGATTTAATCCCATTTATTTTCCCCCACTGAAACTCTCCTACCCCCTTCAGCTTTGTTTCGCTTAGGGCCAGGACATCCAACTTCTTTTCATTCATAACATCAGCAATCATCTGTTTCTTGTCATCCGCACTACATCCACGCACATTTAAGCATCCCAGTTTTATAAAGTTTTTCTTCTTCTCTTTTTTAGTAAGTGTCTACAGGAGAAGGGGTTACTAGCCCATTGCTCCCGGCATTTTAGTCGCCTCATACGACACGCATGGCTTACGGAGGAAAGATTCTTTTCCACTTCCCCATGGACAATAGAAGAAATAAAGAAGAACAAGAGCTATTTAGAAAAAGGAGAAAAACCTAGATGTATGTATATATATATGCATGTGCGTGTCTGTGAAGTGTGACCAAAGTGTAAGTAGGAGTAGCAAGATATCCCTGTTATCTAGCGTGTTTATGAGACAGAAAAAGAAACCAGCAATCCTACCATCATGCAAAACAGTTACAGGTTTCTGTTTCAATTAAATTACAGTAATATTATTTTCATGGGAAACACTGAACTAAAAGAAGTCATACAAAAAACACTTGGGAAATCAGGTAAGATCCAGAAAAAATGTTAAAAAAGATTATTGCATAACTATGCAACATGCAGCAATACAGAATAAAAGCTTTAAGTGTCACTTCACTGCACTACCTTATAAAAGTGAGATATGATTGAAATGTTTTATATCAAAATACCCTCTACAAATAGGAAAATTTCTTCTTGAAATAAGACTCATCTTATCCTTTTAATTTTTTTGGCAAATCTAGCATTGATAAGGATACATAATGATTATAAAAGTTATGTTAACTATTTTTTTCTTTCTGGAGGGAATTTTTTATATTTAATTTCCACAAGGCTTGTGAATTTTTGTCTTAAATGTATTGTGATATAGTTCTGTGTCTTCAGCTAGTCCTCACACTTGACAGTGGTTTTCTAACAGTGTGTGTGTGCTCCCAGACTCTTTTGTATGTTTACCCGGCTTCCCTCAATGTGATATAACATCCCAAAGGGTTATGTACAATATCTTGTTAATTTCTTTTAGGTTTGGATTGATTAGGTTACCCTAACCTAAATTAACATAACTTAAACACAAGGGTGTAAATGACCAGGTAGAGAGAAGAGACTGGAGTGTATAGAAATGCAAGCAGTGTATTTGCAGAAGAAAACATTTTGATTACAAAGACAAAATTTCTGAAATTTCTGCTACATACAGTAATTTATATTAAGGACTAAAGATTTAGAGTTGTGACAAAAGTATATTGACATGAATTAGAGGATACAAGGGCAGATATGACATGAGAAAATATAGCTTTCATGCTAACAATACACAGGAAGTGATATGAAGAGGATGGAAGATTAAATCTCTCACCTGTTAAGATGGAAGATATATATTTTGTAACCAAAAGAACTGCTTGGTTATTCAGCACTTTAAATATACACTATTTTTAACATTATCAAATTTACATCATCATTATCAACTTGCTCCTATCGTGACCAATTCACTGTCATATTAAATAAACCCTAATCACAAAGCAAGTAAAAATATTCCAATCATTTTTTCAAATTTCACAACTCATATCCACAGTTCATTCTGTATCATAGCAATAAGTGTTGGCAAATTTACAGTTGTACTTACAAATTCATCGACTTTTTTTTTTGCCAAATTTGATAATCAAATATTTTTTTACTGATGAGCAACCAGCAAATAAGGTACAATTATCTAATGCTTTTCTGGCTCACTGGCTTTCCCTTGCCCATATCTTCTTCATTCTGTTCATTATTTATGCCCATATTAACCCTTTGACTGTTTTGGTCGTATATAGACGTCTTACGAGCCACCGTTTTTGACGTATATGTACTCATAAATTCTAGCGGCTTCAAATCAAGGAGGAGAAAGCTGGTAGGCCCACATGTGAGAGAATGGTTCTGTGTGGTCAGTGTGCACCACATAAAAAAAATCCTGCAGCACGCAGTGCATAATGAGAAAAAAAAAAACTCTGACTGTTTTTTTAATTAAAATGCCGACTTTGTGGTCTATTTTCGTATAGTATTTATGGTTGTATTCTCGTTTTCTTGGTCTCATTTGATAGAATGGAAAACATATTATAGAAATAGAGGTGATTTTGATTAGTTTTATTATGAATAGAACCTTGAAATGGAGCTCAAATAAGGAGAAATGTTTGATTTTTGCTGATGTTCAAAAGTAAACAAATGATGTAATTTTCCAATAAATGTCCAAGTAGCCATTCTAATATGCAGTCATGAATGGGTTGACATTATTTATACAATTATTACAATATTGCAGTAGTCTGTATAACAGTAAATCTTCTATTTTTTGTTTGAATAAAAATTCAAAATAGAAAGCAAGAGTAATATGAGAGGGGCCTGGAGACGTGACTGATGAACAAAGAAAATGTTATTTTAGAGCCAGGAATGTCTGCATTGTTCATTCTGGACCCTATTTTGAAACTCATATTTTTTAATTTTCGTGAAATTGGTCAAATTGCAAATTTCTGACCATGTTATTGGGTAGTTGAAATCGGTAAATGGGCAGTTTCTTGTACTCAATCGATAGAGAAAATGGAGTTCTAAAGAAATAGCTATGAGTTTGGTCGACTGGATCAATGAAATTAGCTGAAAATAGAGCTCAAAGTGGGCAAAATCGCTGATTCGTAAATATCGCTGAGGCCGCTAACTTCGCAAGAGCGTAATTCCGTAAATTTTCCATTAAATTTCGTTCTTTTCGTTCTTTTGTGTGTGTGTGTGTGGGGGGGGGGGGTTGCGACACCAGGAGACACTTCAGGATTTGGGGTTGCGACAGTCAAGGGGTTAAGCAGAGGGGCTTGGGCTTCTAGCAAGTGTGCATGAGTATGTTAGATAGGAGTGAATGGAGATGAATGTTTTTTTGGGACCTGATGAGCTGTTGGAGTGCGAGCAGGGTAATATTTTGTTAAGGGATTCAAGGAAACTGGTTAGCCGGACTTGAGTCCTGGAAATGGGAAGTACAATGCCTGCACTTAAAGGAGGGATTTGGGATATTGGTAGTTTGGCGGGACATCTCAACTGTTGTATCTGAGCGCCTCTGTAAAGACAATGACTATGTGTGAGTGATGGTGAAAGTGTTGAATGATGATGAAAGTTGTTTCTTTCTTTTTGGGAAATGGCCAACATGTTAAAAAAAAAAAATAAGCAGATTAGAGTAATATATTAATAACACATGGTCTCAAACTTAAAATGAGTCCAAATCTGAAATAAATACTTTTATGCAGATATAATTTTATATTACTCATGGTTTATAGTTTTCACAGAACATCAAGGAATGAACCTTAGTGAATTTGTAGAGATCACTATGATATGCTGGGTTTACAGTCAAACAAGCCCCTTCCCTCTGTAGAGAGTGGAGCACCTCTCCCATAGAAAAGGTCCCTATCTCTAGACACAATCCTCTCAAACCCTCCCCATGTAAAGATGGTCCAGCATCAAGGTATTTTTGGAAGAACTGGTACCTTAAGGAACATTATTTACTGATTTTATTTTTTTTAAACAGAGAGGTAAAAGTTGAACATTAGAGTTTTTTACTACTGTATAAGATTACACATGATTTGACTTACTGTGTTTTGCTGGTTAAATGAGTTGTTGGCTTCAAGAAGGCTTGCAGCATGACTAAACAAGCTATCTGCTAGCTTGGCTTTGATAAACAGCACTTTGAATGTTCCAGCCAAGTAATCACTAAACCTGGAAATAGATGGGACAATATAAAAATCTACAAAAAAGTGTAATTATAATTTTAATTGTTCAGTACCAAATTGTGTACTATTATGGCACAAATAATTTTTCACACTGAACACTTCAATAATATTAAAGAAATAATAAAGTAACAATTACTTCAATTAATAATAAGTGACAATTAAAAATGAAATATCTGTGGTATTAAAAACTAATGTGTATTTTTTAGAAGCCTAAGTTTAAATTTTTGTTTGTATGAGCATCTATCTGATTAAACATTTCAAAAGATTTACCAAGATGAATAGTAGAGTTTCCTTCAGACATCTACTATAAACCCTTTGACTGTTTTGGTGGTATATACACGTTTTACGCACCACTGTTTCTGATGTATTTATACGCATAAATTCTAGCGGCTTTCAAATCAAGCAGGAGAAAGCTGGTAGGCCCACATGTGAGAGAATGGGTCTGTGTGGTCAGTGTGCACCACATAAAAAAAATCCTGCAGCACGCAGTGCGTAATGAGAAAAAAAAAACTGACCTTTTTTTGGATTAAAACGCTGACTCTGAGGTGTATTTTCGTATAGTATTTATCATTGTATTCTCATTTTCATGGTCTCAGGTGATAAAATGAAAAACATATTACAGAAATAGAGATAATTTTGATTACTTTTACGATGAAAACGACCTTGAAAAAGAGCTCAAAGTAGCGGAAATGTTCAATTTTTACCAATGTTCAGGAGTAAGCAAATCCCACCACACGTCCAATACACTTCAACTGGGGAGTCTAATATTCTTTCACTAGTGCGCTGATATGATTTATATCATTTTTACAATAATGCAGTAGTCTGCACAACAGTAAATTTTGTATTTTTTTTGTATGAATAAAAAATCAAAATAGAAAGCAACAGTAATATAAGAGGGGCCTAGAGATGTGACTAATGAACAAAGGATATGTTATTTTAGTGCCAAGAATGTCTACATTGTTTATTCTGGACCCTATTTGGAAATTGGCATCTTTTTTAATTTGTGTGAAATTGGCCAAATGGCCAATTTCTGACCACTTTATTGGGTAGTTCAAATCGGTAAATGGGCAGTTTCTTGTACTCAACAGATAGAAAAAATGAAGTTCGAAAGAAATAGCTATGACTTTGGTCAACTGGAACAACGGAATTGGCCAAAAACAGGGCTCAAAGTTGGCGAAATCGCCAATGCGTATGTCGCCAAGACTGCTAACTTCGCAGGAGTGTAATTCCGTGAGTTTTCGATTAAATTTCGTACTTTTGGTGTCATTACTATCGGGAAAAGATTCTCTATCATTTCATAAAAATAATTTTTTTTTTCCAAAAATTTATTGACATAGAATGACAGTTTCAGAAAGGGGCCCGCGACAGTCAAAGGGTTAAGCATACACCACTGAAGGTCTGCTTTGTATGTAAAAATGAAATTATATACAGTGGAACCTCTACTTACGAGTTTAATCCGTTCCATGACCTTGCTCGCAACTGGATTTGCTCGTTTGAAGAGTCAATTTTCCTCATTTAAATTAATTGAAATGCAATTAATCCGTTCCAGTGGATTGTGTACTTCAATAATTTCGCTAATATCAACTCTACAGCTTATTTATCTATCTCACTTCATCTAATATGACATAATAAACAATATAAATAACATAGAAACCTAATATATACTCTAAAATGAATGAAGTATGTCATTCATGTAGTGGTATGGGCGGTGTCGGTGGTGGAGGAGAGTTTGTCTGGAGACCGGGAAAAATTCTTCATGAATAATTTCGCTAATATCATCTATACTGCTTATTTATCTATCACAGTTCATCTAGTATGACATAACAAACAATATGAATAACATAGAAACATGATATATACTCTAGAATGAATAAAATATGTCATTCATGTAGTGGTATGGGCGGTGTCGGCGGTGGACGAGAGTTTGTCTGGAGAACGGGCAAAATACTTCATAAATAATTTTGCTAATATCATCTATACGGCTTATTTATATATCACAGTTCATCTAATATGACATAACAGACAATATAAATAACATAGAAACAATATATATACTCTAGAATGAATAAAATATGTCATTATGTAACAGGTGGAGGCGGCCACAACCGCTCCCTCTTTGTTGTGGTAAACACTGCCATCTAGTGACGGCCTTTTGAAGCCGTCTATTATTATAATTATTATATGTAGTACATTATTATTATATATGTATTATTATTATACATATTATATTATTATTATTATTATCATCATTATATGTATTGTTATTATTCATATTATTATTATACATATTATTATTATTGTTATTATTATCATTATTATTATTATTATATAAATTATTTGTAATTTTTATTCACACAAAATATATAAGATTTACTGTTATTCCTTATTGCAATAATTGTATAAATATGTCAACCCATTCACGACTGCATATTGGAATGAACAGCCAAGCAATGGACCATTTCTCCTAGGTTGAACTCAATTTCAAGGCACTTTTCGTCATGAAAGCAATCAAAATCATATCTATTTCTGTAATATATCTTCCATTCTATCAAATGAGACCAAAAAAACGAGAATACAACCATAAAAACCATTCGAAATTACCGCTAAAGGGTGGCTAATTGCTGAGAAGTGAACTCCATTATTTATGCTTAGATTTCTTTCATTATTATTATTATTATTATTATTATTATTATCATTATTATTATTATATAAATAATTTGTAATTTTTATTCACACAAAAAATATAAGATTTACTGTGACGTCATTTGTTTACACTGAAACAGCCAAGCAATGGACCATTTCTCCTAGGTTGAGCTCTATTTCAAGGTACGGTGGACACCCGGCATTCGATATTAATCGTTCCTGAGAGCTCATCGAATACCGAAAATATCGAAAAGCGAATCAATTTTCCCCATAAGAAATAATGGAAATCAAATTAATCCGTGCAAGACACCCAAAAGTATGAAAAAAAATATTTTACCACATGAAATATTAAGTTTAATGCATTAAAATAATTACAATAACAATAGAATAATTGACACTTACCTTTAATGAAGATCTGGTGATGATTGATGGGATGGGAGGAGGGGAGAGTGTGGATGGTGTTAGTGTTTAGAAGGGGAATCCCCTTCCATTAGGACTTGAGGTAGCAAGTCCTTTTCCGGGGTTACTTCCCTTCTTCTTTTAATGCCACTAGGACCAGCTTGAGAGTCACTGGACCTCTGTCGCACAACAAATCTGTCCATAGAGCTCTGTACCTCCCGTTCCTTTATGATTTGTCTAAAATGGGCCACAACATTGTCATTGTAATAGTCACCAGCACGGCTTGCAATAGCTGTGTTAGGGTGATTTTCATCCATAAAGGTTTGCAGTTCAACCCACTGTGCACACATTTCCTTAATTTTTGAAGTAGGCATAATGGATTCCACAACTGGCATAGGCTTCTCAGGGTTAGCCCCAAACCCTTCAAAATCTTTCTTAATTTCCATACTAATTCTCACCCTTTTTACCGCAGGGTTGGCACTAGAAGCTTTCTTGGGGCCCATGGTGGCTTATTTTGCAGAAACAAGCACCAAAAACAATGATAACATGGAATTTACCGAATGTATCCTTAGATGCGCTCACACTGGCTGGCTTGTAAACACTGGCACACACGGGGCAGTTCAGGCCACACGTGGACACGTCTTGTACGAAGCGTATCGAATACAGAGGCGAAAATTTTGCGTTAAAATGCATCGAATACCGGATTTATCGAATACCGGGGGTCCACTGTACTTTTTGTCGTGAAAGCAATCAAAATCATATCTATTTCTGTAATATATCTTCCATTCTATCAAATGTAGCCCAGGCGGACTACACCTACCGGCTACCTACACTGACATCCTACAAATAAATACTACTCACCTCTCTTCCTATATTGAGACTACATATATTTTAAGGTAAATAATGAGTGTACTGTATGTGTATTTTACCTCTCTGGGATGTTTTAAATATTGTATATTAAATATGAGACGGGGAGCCAGGGCTACCTACACCTGGGCTACCTGCACCTGACTTCCTACAAATAAGTACTACTCACCTCTCTCCCTACATTAAGATTACAAATACTTTAAGATAAGTAATGAATTTACTGTGAATGTATTTTACTTTGTGTGTTTTTAATTTTTTTTTTTTTTTTATCAAACTGGTCGATTCCCACCAAGGCAGGGTGGCCCGAAAAAGAAAAACTTTCACCATCATTCACTCCATCACTGTCTTGCCAGAAGGGTGCTTTACACTACAGTTTTTAAACTGCAACATTAACACCCCTCCTTCAGAGTGCAGGCACTGTACTTCCCATCTCCAGGACTCAAGTCCGGCCTGCCGGTTTCCCTGAACCCCTTCATAAATGTTACTTTGCTCACATTCCAACAGCACGTCAAGTATTAAAAACCATTTGTCTCCATTCACTCCTATCAAACACGCTCACGCATGCCTGCTGGAAGTCCAAGCCCCTCGCACACAAAACCTCCTTTACCCCCTCCCTCCAACCTTTCCTAGGCCGACCCTTACCCCGCCTTCCTTCCACTACAGACTGATACACTCTTGAAGTTATTCTGTTTCGCTCCATTCTCTCCACATGTCCGAACCACCTCAACAACCCTTCCTCAGCCCTCTGGACAACAGTTTTGGTAATCCCGCACCTCCTCCTAACTTCCAAACTACGAATTCTCTGCATTATATTCACACCACACATTGCTCTCAGACATGACATCTCCACTGCCTCCAGCCTTCTCCTCGCTGCAACATTCATCACCCATGCTTCACACCCATATAAGAGCGTTGGTAAAACTATACTCTCATACATTCCCCTCTTTGCCTCCAAGGACAAAGTTCTTTGTCTCCACAGACTCCTAAGTGCACCACTCACCCTTTTCCCCTCATCAATTCTATGATTCACCTCATCTTTCATAGACCCATCCGCTGACACGTCCACTCCCAAATATCTGAATACATTCACCTCCTCCATACTCTCTCCCTCCAATCTGATATCCAATCTTTCATCACCTAATCTTTTTGTTATCCTCATAACCTTACTCTTTCCTGTATTCACTTTCAATTTTCTTCTTTTGCACACCCTACCAAATTCATCCCCCAATCTCTGCAACTTCTCTTCAGAATCTCCCAAGAGCACAGTGTCATCAGCAACTAACTTAACTTAATATAATTTAGTGTAAACTTGTTGTCTGGTATTTATATGCATTTATAAATGGGAAAAAAATGGCGTTCTGCCTTCTGGCGATGTCTGCTTTCCAGCGACAGCCTGGAACCTAACCCACCGTATAAGTGGGGCCCTACTGTATATACGACCAAAACAGTCAAAGGGTTAATTATCCTATAGTTGTTTTGCGTAAACTCTCAATTTCCAAGAACCAATCAATGACGTTGAGTGAGGGCTTATTGTACCTAATTGGGTGGTTACGATAATAATTATAATATTAATAAAATAATAATAATAATAATAATAATCTGCAAATACATATACCAATTTATTTATGAAAGCATATTCAAAAACCTCAACAGAAAAAATAATAAACATTTTTTTTTATTAAAATCAATAAATACTAAATTTTCCTTTGAGGCCCAACTCAGAATGCATGAAGATTAATACCATATTTATAAGAAGAAGAAGTTAGTGGTTTACCTATAGAATGTAATTAGCCTAGATGGCTTATCTTCAGCAGCATCAGCAGCCCAGTTTTGAAGTGAGAGGAAAATGGCAATATTATCATACTCATTGAGGCGCAGAAGTAATTTGCTCAAGGCACGTGATATGTCCAACTCAACTGCACCAACAACTTCAGAATTACCCTGTGCAACAAATTAAAATTAAAATCTGAGCAGTTACTGTCATTACAGAATTTTTTATTTAAAATTTCTTCCTCACATGAAAAGAGAGCATCAATGTTCCAACAATCAAGATTCCTGGAAAACTTTAATCTTATAAACTATTCACCTGAAGGGAACACCATGCTCTCTTTCAATGTACAGTAGACAGTCGTTGAACACGGTAGTTACATTCCTAAAAACACCGTGTTAGTTAAAACCATGTTAGACAAACTGAAGAACTTATAGGACAAATAGGGTTACGTTCCTGGAAGCCCCATAAAAAGCCAAACCACTTTTTTTTAGACCAACTCTTACAAAAATGAAAGTGGATATGTAATTGTAGTTCACTGTCGTGATATATAACTGCTTAACCCTTTCAGGGTCCAGAGGTCAAATCTCAAAGTGTCAGCCAGGGTCCAAGAATTTTGAAAAAAAAAAAAAAAAAAAAAAAAAACTTACAGAATTAAATATATTATTTTTCTACAGGTAATAAAACAAAACAAAAAAACAATTTCTAATCTGTACTTACCAAGATATAGACGTGTAAAGTTGACCTTCCATGACCGGGTGGCGGCAACATCCGCACTTCCGTAAAGTCGCATTTTGTTTATTTTACATCTTTGTTACTTTTTTTCTTTTCTTTTCTAATATTTTTTCCAGTAACTTTTGTGGTCTGTGAGACTAATATAATGTATAATGTATATATGTACACTCAATGTATTCAACACAATAACTGCACTAATTTGTTCAGCATTATATTGCTTAAAAAACTTGTTTACAACAAAAAACATGCAAAAATGTTGTATATTAGTAATATTCTATTGTATATTTACATGCACAGTGGTGTCTTACTCATCTGTGAACCAGTATGATTTTATAATATGTTTATAGACATGAGGCACAAGCATTATTGTTAAAAAAAAAACAAATACATTTCAGCCACAGTCGTCTCCTTCCACCGGTGGATGACGATGTGCTTTGTCCTAGAACTGTTGAGTCAGCAGCTTGGGTCCCAAATTCACTCTCAGTCTGGGCTGGTGCCTCATGCTGCATGCTCGTGGCATCATAGGGACCCCAATGGAAATAAATCACTCTGACTTTTTTGGGTTGTCCTAGGATCTTTACACATATGCTGCTATGTATGATAATCTGTGTAACTGTATTTGTGTATACCTGAATAAACTTGCTCAAGTGCATATGGCATTGTAAGTTTATTCAGGTATACACAAATACAATTACACAGATTATCATACATAGCAGCACGTGTGTGGAGAGCCTAGGATAATCCAAAAAAGTCAGATAGAGTGACTTATTTCCATTAGGGTCCCTGTACCCTGTATCATATGGTACAATGTACCATATGGTATAATGTACCATATGGTACATTGTCCCATATGGTACCATTGTACCATATGGTTCCATTGTACCATATGGTACCATTGTCCCATATGGTACCATTGTACAATATGGTACAATGTACCATATGGTTCAAAACCATAGAAATTCCTTTTCAGATTCACTTCCATCAGTGTTAGAACTATAACTTGGGTAGAGGAGAGTCAGAATTTGCCAGGGAGTGAGAGCTTCCTTGCTGCCAGGCATGATGATCAAAGTGTACTGAGATGGCGTTCCCACAATGCAATGCGGGTGCCCCAATTTCTTGTTTACTGCACACACTGACCATGCAGACCCATTCTCTTAGATGTAGGCCCACCAGCCTTTTTGCTCTAAATTTGAAGCTGTTAGAATTTTGGCGTAGATCTATGGATTGGACCCTGACTTCAAAGCTGTAGATCTATGGGATGGACCCTGAAAGGATTAAGACTACAAATGCAATAGAAATAATAGGATTTCTTACCTTAAATTGTGGGTAATAGTGTTTGTGGATGATTGTGAAGAGAGTGGATATGCATGGTGTGGCCCTACTGGGCTGAGGTGGATGGTTGTTGGTTGTCAGCAGAAGTGGATGGTAGAGGTTCTGGCCGATGGTTGTATTGGAGTGTGCATAAATTCTGTAATGGATCTCTGGGTTCTTTTACCCTGCAGTACATTATACAGCTGACGGTAAGGCATCATCAGCTGGTCTAGACCCCATTTCAAAGCAATGCTTCTAGATTTGTCAGAGTCCTTTCAGTAACAAAAGTCTGCAACTTTACCAATAATATGGAACTGCTCACATAACTGCTGCAATATTAACTGTTTTTCTTCAGGTTCTTCATCTTCTGTTATGTGGCTCCATTGTATCTGTGCATCGAGCTCTGCCAACATTTCCTCTGGACTCCTGTCTTCATCATCATCATCTTCTAAGAGCTCATTCACATCTTCTTTCATATCTTCAAAACCATCACCTGGTAATCTCCTTGCCAGGTGAACAATTTCCTGAACCTGACTCTCAAGCAAGGGAAAACCAGTTGAAGAATTAACTACATAAAGTCATAACTTTCCCCAGCCTTCATTTAATGTTGACTGGGGCACTTCATTCCATGCACTTCTAGCACAGCTGATGGCTTCTGCAATGTTAAATTTATCCCAGAAGCTTCGTACTGCCAGATTGGAGTCAGAGTCCATTGATGCAACTAGTTTTTTCACAACATTTTTTGTGTAGTTACACTTGAATGACTTAATAACTCCCTGATCCAGTAGTTGTATCTGGAGGTAAAAATACAACTTTTACATGTGGGGTCACATCCAGCAAAACTTGTGGATGAGTACAGAAATTATCAGGAATGAAGAAAGCCTTGAATGCAAGGTTCTTGCTGTGCAGGTAAAACCTGACTTCAGGAATAAAGTGATGCTTAAACCAGTCAATAAATATTTCCTCTGTCATCCATGCTGACTGGTTTGACCTCCAAATTTCTGGTAAGGTGTTTTTATCCACACCTTTCAAAGCACAAGGATTCTTAGAGCAGTAAATAATCATGGTCTTACTTGATATCACCTGATGCATTACTGCAAAGGAGCCAGGTGAAGTGATCCTTTGCTGTCTTGAAGCCAGGTGCACTTTTCTCTTGATGACTGACGTAAGTTTGTGTTGGCATTTCCTTCCAAAAATCACTTAGTCTTGTCAGAATTAAACACTTGATGTGGATCATAGCCACCCTCAGAAATAATTTCCTGCAAATCAGCAGGGAAATTACTTGCTGCTGTATGATCAGCTGAAGCATTTCCACCAGAAAACTTAATATTATGTAACTTATGCAACTTAAAGTTGTGGAACCAGTCTGTGCTAAACATACACTCTTTTCCAGGCCTTCCTTCCTTATCAAATACTGCTTTAAACAACTGTAAGGCCTTTTCCCTAATTAAGATGAAATTGTGATGCACCTTTCTTTGTCTTTTGTTCGATCCACTCATGCAACAAGTTTTCAGTTTTATTTACTTGTTGTGATCTGTGTGTCATTCTTTTCATGAGATGACATTACACAAGCATTACATTATGCATTACACAAGCATTACATTATGCATTACACAAGCATTACATTACACATTACACAAGCATTACATTATGCATTACACAAGCTCGTACATTCGCCTCATTCTTTTTAATTGTATGAACTGACGCTTCATTAAGGTCATAGGCCGTCACTATATCCACCACAAGTGAGCCACACTTAAGCTTGTCTAAAAATAACAAAAAAAGGCACAATACCATGACTGGAACAATACACAAATATCCTGCACATAGAAGAGAGGAGCTTGTCTAATATCTCGAGTTTCTTCCTAACTCCTAGACTTAAATGCTTAAACCTTTTTTTGCCACTTTCAGCAACACTTGTGTGCCTACTGGGTGCCATGATTGCTTAACAGATTTAAGATGTGGCATTTAAAAGATCTAAACCCAATCCACAAACAAAAATAAACACAGTTAGCTCCTAGCAGAGGATTGTTCTACACACCTGTGAACCGAAGACTGGGACAAGGGTGGTGGGAGTGGTGGAGGGTGGTGGGGGCGGTGGGGAGTGGTGGGGGATGGCGGTAGGTCTCCCCTGTTTACTCAATGGTCTAACCCACAGCCAAGCAGAATGTATCCCACAGGCGATGCGTGCTTGCAATTTTTTCCCTTCCCACAAACTGAACCATGTTAAGTTAATTTTTCGAAGTGTTATACAAAAATGTGCCGCAATTCTTCAATAGTGTTATAATCAAAACATGACAAACAAAACCGTGATAAATGACAGTCTACTGTACCTTTAATTTATGTAATTTTTGTCAAGCTTTTAAAATACATTGAAGTAAAAATTTTTTTTTTTTTTTTTTTTTCAACAAGTCGGCCGTCTCCCACCGAGGCAGGGTGACCCAAAAAAGAAAGAAAATCCCCAAAAAGAAAATACTTTCATCATCATTCAACACTTTCACCACACTCGCACATTATCACTGTTTTTGCAGAGGTGCTCAGAATACAACAGTCTAGAAGCATACACATATAAAGATACACAACATATCCCTCCAAACTGCCAATATCCCAAACCCCTCCTTTAAAGTGCAGGCATTGTACTTCCCATTTCCAGGACTCAAGTCCGACTATATGAAAATAACCGGTTTCCCTGAATCCCTTCACTAAATATTACCCTGCTCACACTCCAACAGATCGTCAGGTCCCAAGTACCATTCGTCTCCATTCACTCCTATCTAACACGCTCACGCACGCTTGCTGGAAGTCCAAGCCCCTTACCCACAAAACACTTAAATAATGCTGAACAGTAATTCCTACACATTATTCCAACTGCTAACTCATTGGAATTTAAATCTTTTGCAAATTTTATTTTTATTTTTACAGTAACATTTTATGCATAGTAACATAATTACTTCCAGATCAAAACTAATTTTAATATACTTGAATCTCATATATTTTTCAGTAGTAATGAAAGCATTTTTTTATATAGCACCCCTGCTTAAAGTATGAATAAAACTCAATGAAGTACTGGATACATAATTTGGCATATACAGTGGTACCTTGACTTATGAGTGTCCCAAATTACGAG